TCCCCTACTGATAGACCAGGCCCTGGGGCTTTGGAACAAGGGCTGAATCTCCACCCCCTACCCCATCCTCCACCTCAGTCCTCTTGACTGGAGCATTTGTGTAATGAACAGCCCGTGCAACGGTACACAGTGATCCTGGCCTGTCTCAGAACTCCCAAATACTTACTTTACCCTGATGACCTCAGACAAATCCCCGGGGTCCCTCCAAACAGGAGTCAGGGGGATTAAGGGTGACTTCTGTACAGCAGACTCATTCCTCATCCCCAAGACCAGGACTTGTGCTATCAGGGGCTCCCCATCACCCCGTGGGCCCCACAAAGGTCAAGGTCACTCACAGAACACAAACAGGACAGTGACACTCTCAGCCCAGATGTCATAAGCCACCTGGCAGTTGGCAAACAGGAAACACCGCCCACGGGGCGCAATCCTGGCTCTTTCCTTGATCATTCCCCAGACCATCCACTTACCAGACCCAAACCTTCCCCATCGGCATCTCCCACAATACACTGCTTTCTGTCCAGAGCTGCTTTCATACCCTTATCCTGCCAGCCTTCCCTGAGTACTTACTATGTCCAGGAAAGTCTTGGAAGGATGGGGTAGTCTCGGGATTAGGAGTACAGGTTCTGAAGTCAACTTGGATTCGAGTCCTACATCTTATTTCCTATCAACTATGTGAGCTTGGGTACACAACTCAACTTCTCTGGGCCAGTTGTCTTACAAACTGTTGATGAGAACACTCCAGCACCAGAGCCGAGTGTGAGGACTCAGGAGCAAAGCCCCTCCCCCACCCCGACGCGAACGTCCACACATTGGCTCTGTGTGTCTTTGGCACTATTTCGTCCTCGTGGGGAAATTAGAACTTAGGCAGTTTCTCAGTTCACAAGGGAAGAAACTGAAGGCAGTCTAGACAGTCAGGGAAGGGCTCTGGGTTCTGTGTCCTTTCTCTAGGGGCCTGATGGTTCCAGAGCCAAAGCCAGGAGGCGTCTCTACCTCACACATCTGCCGCTAGGACCACTCATGGGCCTGCAGGACACAGATGATGTCCCCTGACTCGGGCCTCTGGTGGCTCTCAGATCTGTCAACAGAGGGAAAAGCTCCTTGCCCTTGCTGTCCTTCGACACATCACTCAGGCTATAGGAGACCCAGGCTATCCAGAGGAGCCTGTTCTTGGAAAGGATGCACCTCTCTCTCTCTCTCCATCTCCCCATCTGTTGGGTCTGGACCAGTGCTTTCCTGGCTTGAAAAAGAACTTTAAGATCTCATCTAAGGCCAGGTGGTGGTGGCTCAGCCCTAAATCCCAGCACTTGGGAGGCAAGAGCAGGCAGAGTACTGTGAGTTCAAGGCCAGCCTGGTCTACAAAGTGAGTTCCAGGACAATCAGGAGTACACAGAAAAGCCCTGCCTCAAAAACAAACAAACAAAGGATCTCATCTAAGAATGCATCATCTGGCCCCCTCTGTGGGCTCCCGGGAACCCCAGAACCCAGCTTGAAAAGCTTCCCTTCGCATCTCCCCTAAGATTCCCCGGCTGGGACGTTAGAAGCCAAACCTGCTGCTTCACATCCCCCTTTGGGATGCTCCCCACTGCCTTTATCTCCCTGTGCTAACAGAGCAAATATGCTCAGGCCCTGGAGCAGGGGCACAGGCAGGCTGTTGACTCTTGAGCAAAGCCTCCCCTCCGGAGGGCGCAGCAGAGGCTGTTGGAGGTGTGTGGAGAGGCCAATGGCCTCTTGCATAACCTAGGAGGCCTCCTGCCCACCCCGGGCCTTTTCGGGGTTAGGGATCAGGCAAACCGCAAACTCATGCCCAGTTAATTTTTTAAAGCAAGACCAACAGGCTCAGCAATGATTAGCAGACAGGTAAGTTCATCTTAATCACACTGAGGACAGAGAGGGAGGAAGAGGCCACTGGAGGCCCAGGGATGGGGCCCAGTTATCAGTTAACTACATAAATGTTGTTTCCTTCTAAAACCACTGGTCTTCAGCCCCCAGCTCCCTCATCTTCCTCTCTGAGATACTGTGGCCATTGAGTGAGCCCATGGTCATCAGTCATTGAGTAAAGCAACACGCGACCATCCACTCTCCGTGGGATGGGAAAACAAGAGTCCCCCTTAGTTAAGACAGAATTCACCTGTCACCACTAATTAGCCTAAAGCAAGTCCCTTCTCCCCTCTGGGCCTGGTGAGAGGCCCTAGGTCTTTGGCTCAACTCCCAGTCTGCAGCAAGGACCCTTCACTTGAGGGCTTCGGGGTCTCCATCTGACCTAGGAGTGGCTTGAAAGATGACTTTTCCAGTCTGACATTCCAGGAGGTCTCGATGGGACTGAGCCACGGTGGACAGGGCTCAGGCGCTCAAAAAAGGAGCAGAGAGTCCCCCGAGAGGACACCTACCTGGTTTCAGTTGTTGGCCCAACAAGCATCAGATTCCAGCTTCAGGCAGAGGTGGTCCTCTCAGATAGGAACTGGGCTCCCTTGGTAGTGAGCTGGGGGCTTCAGGATGGCCTGGCAGGTCCCAGCTGCCTAGGACTCCTACCCTCGGGTCTTGGAAGCTGCCAAAGGAACCGGCAAAGCCAGGCCAGTCTCAAGCCAGGTGGCTGCCTGGACTGGAGTTTGGTCAGCAGTTGGGGACCTATATTGTGAGATAGTTAGGACTTTGTCCACAAACTGGAATTTGAAATTTCAAAGGGGCGAAGCTGAAGGCCCTACCTACCCCAGACTAGAGATGGCTCTTGGCTTCTTGCCCCCACGACTTTTGTTCTTTGTCTCGATAAGTGCTCATTTCCCCAGCGCTGCGCCCCGGGGGGCAGGCGGGGGAGGAAGGAGAGGAGATAGAGGTGAGGTGAGCTCGGAGAGGAGAAGCCAAGGCGCCAGGTGACCCCAGGTGGCTGGATGTCTGTAGTAAGCCCCTAGAGCTGCATGTGGCCAGAGACAGGGCCGTGGCTGCTCAGGTTCATGATAACACCCATGCTGTACCGCGATAGAGAAACCAGCTGGAGTCAGACCCACCCTTCAGGATACTATAGTTATTCCAGGGAACCTGGGAGTGGAACAACATCGAGAGAGGCCCTGAGCCCCATAGCCAGCCTCGGTTCAAGCGGCAGACTCTTCTGTTACAAGACTCGTGGCCTTTGGGCAAATGTACTTTATTTACCGCATTGAGTCTCATTTGGTCTTATAACGTGAGGACACCCTGGGCCGCAGGAAAAATGAGGAGACGGGGGTTCTTATCTTGAGGCCAAGAACATGCTTCCACAGCCATTTGCTGTTACTACAGTTTGCTCTAGGGGCTGAGGATGCAGCTCAGTCAGTGGAGGGCTTAGCTAGCATGAGCGAAGTGCTGGGTTCAGTCTGAAGCACGGTTTGAAACAGCCAGGGTGGCACACACTTGCATTCCCAGCACTCAGAAGATGGAAACAGGAGGATTGGATATTAAAGCCAGCCTGGGCTACATAGAGAGCCTGGGCTACACCAGATCCTGTCTCAAAAATCAAGAGTGAGGGAGAAGGATATGATTCATTGTGGCAGGGCCCTTGACCTCTGTTCACAGCAGAGATGTGACCTCCCAGCCCACCTCCTGTCAGCAGCCACCTCTCTGGACCATCCTCTTGCCTGCTCATGCCCTGTCTCCATCTACAAGGTGAAGAAGGGGTTGGGCTTATGTGGCCAGTGGCCAGTGGAGCCAGGAGTACCCAGCCAGTGATGACAATCACTACTGTTGTCCATTGTATCCCTGGGCATCCATGAGGGAGGTCCCAGTACCTTCCTCAGAGATCCAAATTCACAGGTACTCAAGCACTTGATAGCAATAACTGTTGCATTTGCATGTGACCTATGCACAGCCCACTGTATTTTTAGTCATCTTCAGATTCTGTATGCCCCTATGGGAGTGCTATGTAACTGTTTTTGTTGTTGTTGTTGTTGTTGTTGTTAGGTTAAATTAGTTAAGGAGTAATGACAAGAAAAAAAAATCTGTACAATGGTCAGGCATGTGGAGCTTGCCTGTGTTCCAACTCCCAGGAAGCAGAGGCAGGGGGATTGCTTGTGCCCAGGATCTCAAGGCCAGGTTGGATAACACAGTAAAGCCCATCTTAAATAAACGAATATTCCTCCATTTGTACATGTTGAGCTAGGCATACAGAAATAATACTAGCAATGATAATAATAATTTTGGTATTATGTGTGTTCATGTTTGTGGTTTATTCAGGTGTGTGCACATGTGTGTGTATGTGGAATGTGTATATATGTGTGTATGCCTGTACATGTGGAGTTGACATCCATTCCCCTCTATCACTTTCCACTTTGGTTTTTGACAAGCTCTCTCACGGAGCCTGGAGCTCCCTGATGGGTTAGGTTGGCTGGACAGTGAGCCTTGGGGTCCTCCTGTGTCTGCCTGTTATTACTGAGATCAGAAACATGCAACACTGTGTCCAGTTTTTCCTGTGGGGGCCGGGGATCTGAACTCAGGTCCTTGTGCTTGTGCGACAGACACTACCCACTGAGCCATCTCCCCAGGACCCTTGTGTTGTTTTTGAATAAAAATAATTTATATTTGTGGGTATAGGGAGGTAGAGGTCGTGGGGTAGGGCTGGGGGCTGAGATAGAGGGGTGGGACAGGGGTGGGCACCATCTTGTTGAGGCCAGAAGACTTTGCTTTAGGGATTGGTTCTCTTCTGTGAGTTCCAGGAACTGAACTCAGGCCAGCAGTTTTGTGAGGCAAACACCTGCTAAGCCACCGCTCCAGCCCTGTGGTTATTGTTGTTGTTGAGACAAAGTTTCATATATTCCAGGCCCTCACCTTCTTTGCCTCTACCTCCCAAGTGCTAGGGTTGCATGCGTGTCCACCACACCCTGCTCAGACACATTTCCCCCCACCATTTTCTATCCAAACTGTCAGTCCGTGAATACAGAACCTGAATAGAGAACAGAAGGGCTGACTTACACCCTGGTCACTTACTGCCCACAGCCGCCCATCTGTGGGAAGGATCCACTTCATTTTCCATTTCCTGATGCTGAGGTGACAGAGATTTTGACCCATGTATGTCGGACTACCTGATCTCAGAGACAGTGAGCAGGAATAGCTCAGTGACAGCAAGATCTCACTTAATCAAACCAAACAACAACAAGCCTCATAAATTAGGCCCATTTTACAGAGACACTAGATTTAAAATGGCTTGTCCCAAGCTGGGCGGTGGTGGCGCACACCTTTAATCCTAGCACTCGGGAGGCAGAGGCAGGCAGATCTCTGAGTTCGAGGCCAGCCTGGTCTACAAAGCGAGCTCCAGGAAAGGTGCAAAGCTACACAGAGAAACCCTGTCTCGAAAAACCAAATGAATGAATGAATGAATGAATGAATGAATGAATGAATGAATGAATGAATAAAATAGCTTGTCCCAGACTCCAGGACTGTTAGATCACAGAGGTGGTGTGTCGAGGTGAAGGAGAGCTGCCGGGAGGGTATTGCCCAGAATAAGCTGAAGGTGGAGGGAATTATGAGTGAGACAGTTATGTGATTTATGATTGATGGGTGGGTAGGCTGCTGTGGGTGAGTTGTGACAAGGTGGGACATGGGTGTGGAGTGTGCAATATGCCATACATGCCATGGTTTGGGTACCAGGCAGTCCTCCTCATGCAGGCTTTCTCATTCGCTTGTTATTAGATCTTTGTCTAAACATGATGTGCTCTGGCCAACCCTAGTTGATCATAGACTATATTTAATGGAATCTACATTGTCATCTATAAAAAGGCCCATTGTTGGCTTGTTAGCTAGTAAAATCTGATTTGCTAGCAATCACATTCCACTTGTAGAAACATGGAATTGCGTCCCTCCCAGGCGACAAGTCACATGTAGGACAGAAATGTTAACTACTGTGCATGGCCTGTCACATGTCTTCCCTTTCCTCCCAGCCCAACCCCCGCTCCTAAGATCTCTGGGTCCAGATGTTGCCAAGTGGAGCTGGAAAGGACCTGAAAGAGTCTGAAGTCAACATCAGACCTTTTTGGGATCTCAAGGTGTGGGCTGCAGGTTCCAATCTTTCCTCTCCCTTCAACCAAGAAGTGGAGGATGAGACTAGGATCTTTCCCCAACAATAATGAAAGGGAGAGTTGCCCAGAGAGATGTGAATTGACAGAAATCGTTTCTATTTGTGTTTGATCATGTGAGTGTACATGATAGAAACAAGGCATTCCAGGGATCGAACGCAGATCACCAAGCTTGCAAGGCAAGTGCTTTACCTGTAGAGCCAACTTGTGGGTCGCCGGGGTGATTTCTAAAGCTAGGGCTCTTGGCCTCCGATTCTAATCATTTTCTTCCCCAGAACTGCCTCCCACACTCTCTTCCACCATCTTGTCTCTCGGGACAGGATGGCAGGGGCATGATAAAGCTAAGCAGCACAGAAAGAAGGTTGCATCAATATGGTGTGAAGGCACAGTTACCTGCTCGCTCATCCACTCGCTCATTCTCTTCTCATCCATTCACCCTTTTATATACTCATGAATTTCACTCCTTCATTCCACTCATGCATTAATTTCCCTGGTCTCCTAGTCACTCACTTTTCTGGTTCATTCATTCATTCCTAAGTAGGCTCTGTCTCTCATTCTCACTCTGTGTTGTTACCATGCCCTCTGACTCGCTCTTTCAATGTGCTGAGCAAGACAGGCCCTGAAGCTTCCAAAGCTACTGCCCTCATGCTCAGTCTTTAGCGACTCTCTCTCCCCGGCTAGTGTGGGAGCCTTAAAAGTGTCAGCAGAGAAGCAGTGGTGGTGCACGCCTTTAATCCCAGCACTGGGGAGGCAGAAGCAGGTGAGTTCGAGGCCAGCCTGGTCTACAGAGTGAGTTCAAGGACAGCCAGAGCTCCACAGAGAAACCCTGTCTTGAAAAAGCAAACACACACACACACACACACACACACACACTGTGTCAGCAGAGAAGAGCACAGAGGGGAATTGTGTAATTGTTCAGACCCAAAACAAAAGTACGAGGGGACAGGTGCCCCGGGCTCATAGTTAAACCTCATAAAAGATGTAGCCAATGAATGGAAATGTAAAGAAAAAAGGGTTTAAAAGCTAAAAATAGGGACGGGAGCCAGGCGATGGTGGCACACAACTTTATCCCAGCACTTGGGAGGCAGAGCCAGGTGGATCTCTGTGAGTTCGAGGCCAGCCTGGTCTACAGAGCAAGATCCAGGACAGGCA